ACCAAAATTGGAACCCTTGGGCCAAATTTTTGGTAATCACACTTACAACCTTTGAAAAACCCCGAAAAGTCGCAAGTGGGATTGTGAAAAAGTTGTGGGGGGTCCATGTGGTCAATGGAGTGGTTCTCCTGCCTGACCATGAGAACCCAACTGTCTTCAATGCCTATACGTGGTTCCCCTACAGTGATGGTAACTGTGGTACCAACTTCAGTCAAATTAAATTAATCGACTCTTGTTCTTTTGGTCGGAGTACCAAAGTCAATTGGTACCCCCCTAAAATCCCCAACCGGTTCAATCAATGTACCATCAGAGTACGCATGGTCCAATGGCCACCATTTGTTATAAACATACCAAATGGTTCCCGGAGTGGTCCCCCACGTGGTTCCCGTGGTATTGAAATCAGTCTCCTTGACTTGGTCGCCGAATTTGCAAACGTCCGCATGTTGTACCACCATGACCAAGTACCAGATAATTGGGGCAATGTTTATGATAATGGTACCATCACTGGAAATTTAAAGTATTTGTACCAAGAAATCGACGATATTGCTATTGGTGCTTATGCTAAAAACATGAAACGATCCCTTTTTTTTGACGATGTTTTGTACCACCACTACGAGAAGTTAATTTTTTGTGTTCCATTTAAGACACTTAACTCGAAATTGGAAAGTTTGGCCGGGATTATGGGTTTTGGAGCGTTGGTATTGACCTTTGTTTTTTACCTTATGGTTACCATAATGTCATGGTTGGTGAGTCGTCATGATTACACCCATTATCAAAAAATTGACACGTGTGCCGTTGAAACGTACCAGATTTTACTAGGTTTGTCGGTTAGTTTGCAACCTAGAAGTACCAAAGTTAGGTTTTTCATCGCCATGTTGATTATTTATAGTTTCTATGTGGTTACAGCCTATCAGACGTTACTAGTCAGTGCATTGGCTAATAGTAGTACCAAACAGGAAATCAGTACCATTGACGAAATCCTAGCCCGTGGTTTGGATATTTATGGACTTAAAACAAACACGAGGTACTTTAATAGTGATGGTACTAGTAGTACCACAAGTCGTACCAACGCCGCCATCTTGAAAAACTGGAAAAATTGTCAAAATATGCACAAATGTCTCGATTTAGTGGCATTTAACCGAAATGTTGCCACTTGTACCCCAAAACTTTTCACCGAATTCATTTTAAACAGTAACAAGACCTCAAAAAATGACCCCCTGATTTATTGTTTCGATAATATTATAGTAACATTTCCTCTTACTATCATGACAAGAAAAGGATTGCAATTTTATCACAGAATTAAGACTTTAGTCAACCGAATTCTTGAATCTGGGATTATACAAAAGTGGGAAAGGGATATTTTAAAAACACGATTTACTGGGGTACTCGAAGAGGGGGAAACTAGCAATGAACTTGATTTTGACAGTTTAAAATTGATTTTTTATATCTGGGGGATTGGGTGTTTTTCTGCTTTGATTGCATTTTTTTGTGAAATTGTTTATTGTAGATGGGTTGCAAAACTTGACTCTTGTTTCAAAAAAAATAAAAAACATTAAACTACAAACTGTTTTATTTGTTTTTTACCATATAAACACCTTTAACAAAAAATGTTTTTGGGGGTTTTCTATACGTTGTTTTTTTTTAAATTTTAAAACAAAAAATTTATTTTTACTAAATTTTTTACGGTTTTAGAATTAATGCTTTAACAAAATACGGGTTTTTGTTTTTTTCACAATTATTACACGGTTTGAAGAAAAAAAAAATTGCGTGCTACTAATTACAGCAAATTCATAACAAAATATTGGTAATATATTTATTTTTTTAATTTAGTTGAGTAGTAAAAGTGATAGTTGCTTAGAATTTCTAATTTTTTAATCAAAAAAATCTTATACATTATGCACAACATCAAATAAATCTAATTTTATTTCTTTTTAATTATTGAAATTGACATTTGATTGTCACACACCACTCTTTAACAATGCCTTCAACGATCATAATCTTCT